AAAAAAAAAAAAAAAAAAGAAAATGTTTTATGTGAAAGTATCAGTATTTTATAATCTTGTGGTTTTTTAATATCAGATTTATTGAGATATAATTTACGTACCATACAACTCACTCATTTAAAGCGTACAATTCAATGGTTTTTAGTATATTCACAGAGTTTTGGGACCATCACCACAATCAATTTTAAAACATTTTCATTACTCAAAAAAAGAAATTCCATATCCATTAGCAGTCACTGCCCATTTCCCCCAATCCCCCTCCCCTGGCCTAGAGGCAACCACTAATCTAGTTTGTTTTTATAGTTGCCTATTCTGGACATTTCATATAAATGGAATCCTACAATATGTGCTCTTTTATGACTAGCCCCTTTCACTTAGCATAATGTTGTCAAGGTTCATCCATATTGTATCATGTATCACTACCAGTAGTTTTTCTTTTTTTGTATTTGCCAAGTCTTTAATGTTTTCTGCTTCCATAGAGTTTGTTAGTAAGTTAATTCCCAAAGAATAAATATGCCTCTAGAAAGATTGAGGCAGTTTTAAAATTTGAAATTATTTGAACGTTAACCAAGCAAAATTATCTAATATTAGCTATTTTATGTGATTTTAACCAGTAGTTTGTTTTTTAAATTATTTTTTATTTTCATCAAAGTAATACATGCACAAAGGTTTTAAAAGTCAGATTGTCTTAAGCAACAGTCCCCTCCCTGCCCCTAGCCCTGCTTCTTGCAGGCAGCTCCTCTCAACTCTTTAGCTACTGCTTTCACTATTTATCTCCATATTTCTAAATAAGATCTTATACTTTTCCTGTATTTATCAATTTTGACATTATTCATCATGGTAAATAAAACTTTATCTTTCTTTTTTTTTTTTAAAGAAGTCCTTTTAATTTTTTTATTTTTATTTTTATTTATTTTTTTGGTGAGGAAGATCAGCCCTGAGCTAACATCCATTGCCAGTCTTCCTCTTTTTGCTGAGGAAGAGCAGCCCTGAGCTAACATCTGTGCCCATCTTCCTCTATTTTGTATATGGGATGCCGCCACAGCATGGCTTGATGAGTGGTGCATAGGCCAACGCCTGAGATCCGAACCTATGAACCCCAGGCCACTGAAGCAGAGCACACAAACTTAACCACTACGCCACCGGGCTGGCCCCAGACTATATGTTTCTTATGCCATCCCCAAATTTATTTTCCCAGTATAATATGTCACAATTTTGGATTAAGTCAATATTCAGTGTTTATATTATATAAATATTGTTCGCTGTTAAGCTCTTAAGTGTAGTGTGGTAAGAATTACATTCCCCTTCTGGTAAACTTTTTTATTTTCTTGTAGCTAATAAAGTACACTTTTTTCATTCCCTTCGTTTTCTGTATACCCATCACTAATTCTTCCTAAACTCCCCAGCTGAACTGTAACCCTTCTAAGTACTGCATTTTTCCTCTGTCAGTTGTTTTTTCTGGAAACCTCCATCCTCCTGTTTCAAATCAGGCTGACTGCTCTCTAGGTCTACTACATAGCCCTTGGTCCTAGCACCTTATGCACCAGCATCCTGGGACTTGCCTTCTCTGTTAGATGCCCAATTTTCTGGCTCCCGTGCCTGCCTTCTTTATTTAATCCTTTGTTTTGGTGAAGCACATCCTCATAGCTTTCTAATAAAAGGTCACTAGAAGGTAAAATGCTTGATGCCTTCCATGTCTGAAAATGTTTTATTCTGCTCTCATGCTTGATTAATAATTTGGCTGGGTGCAGAATTCTAGAGTGAAAGGCATTTTCCTGCAGACATTTGAAAGCATAGCCCTGCTACCTTTAGCTACTGGGATTGTTTTTGAGATGTCTGTTGCCATTTTAATTTCTGATTTTTTTGTAAGAATGACCTGTCTCTTCTCTGTGGAAGAGACTTACATACATGTTACACCAAGTCTGGCAAATGTCTTCGTCTCAAAGTTTACCAGAGAAGCAGTTACAAAATCAAAACAGAAAACAGAAGCTAGAATTTGCTACCAAAGAAAAGGCAGACTTCTTTTTGTGTGCTGTGTGTTGGTATGATGTATGTTATAAAGGCAAGCTCAAAATTTCAGAACAGATCTGTTCACCATTGACAAGAACCTTCAGCTGTAAAAGTAGCTACAGGAAAGAGTACCCAGATGAAGAGTAATTAACAGTTTTTCCCGAGTTTGGCCAAGGTGACCTTGTCCAAAGAGAGTGAGTCCTAGTTGATTTAGACTCAAGTTGCTCATTCAAAAACTGTATTCTAAGATAAGCAGAAACACTTTGGTAATGTTTAATGATTATGAAACAAGATTTCATGTAATAGATGTGAAATTCCATGTATTTCTATTAAAAATATATCATCATTATTTATAATAATTTATAGTAATTTATTTATAAATTTATATGATTTATAATAACACAAGCAATTAGCCCCAGTACCTGGGATCTTTTTCTAATCCAAAATAAGTATTGGGTTGAAATCCATATTGACTTAAATAAATAGACAATAAAGTCCTTTGAAAATGTTTACCTGTAGTCTCCTTTGACTCTGGCAATGCCACCCCTATCTCAATAGCAGATCCTTTAGGTCAAACTACTTCATTATTTCTCAGGCCATAGAAGTGAATCACACAGAGAGATTTAGAGGGAAAGGTATTTCACTTACATTGGTGACCTTTTTTTTTTTACCACCATTGAAAAAGGAAATACAAAGAATTCTAGGGCCGGCCCCGTGGCTTAGCGGTTAGGTGCACGTGCTCTGCTGCTGGCGGCCCGGGTTCGGATCCCTGGCGCGCACCGACGCACCGCTTCTCCGGCCATGCTGAGGCCGCGTCCCACATACAGCAACTAGGAGGATGTGCAGCTATGACATACCACTATCTGCTGGAGCTTTGGGGGAAAAATAAATAAATAAATAAAATTATTTAAAAAAAAAGAATTCTAAACAGCCGGTGATAAGAAAGATGGGTCACTCCTTCACCCAGCAAAAAGGCATTGCTGTGTAGTTTCATCATTTTGTTTACAGTACAATAAAATCCCAAACCTAGTACGCATGAAGATTCAACTGTTTATACTACAGTACATCTCATAGCCAAAATCAAATTTTTTAAAGCTACCATTTAACAGTGATAATCCCAAATTATACAGTAGATAAATGTGAATATCGGGGTGTGCGCGTGTGTGTACCAGTCAAGTAGGTAGGTAGTGTGTTGTTGGTTCTGTATAACCTCCTTCTGTATGGATGGTCCAGGGATTCACATTAACTAATATTTGTCTTAAGTGAGATGAAATGTCCTCACTTTTACCACTCTTGTGTTTTACAGGGGTCTCTTCATTATTGATGACAAAGGAATCCTGAGACAGATTACTCTGAATGACCTTCCTGTGGGTAGATCGGTGGATGAGACACTACGTTTGGTTCAAGCATTCCAGTACACCGACAAACATGGAGAAGGTACACTTTCCTTCTAAACCTCAGAGCCTTTTGATTTTTTAGTTTGAGAGACAGCAGCATCATTAGTTTGGTTTAGTAATTAGTAATTTGGATGGTGCCAAAGTCTTCTGATTGATTGTTTTCAAATTATTAGCAGAGCTTTTTAGCAGATCAAATTATTTTTAAAGTGCTTTTAACAAAATATCACTAATATATTCTACTTACTGAATAAGATGCAAAAATATTCATTATTTGCATAGTCCTTTTGGATAAGCTCAAAGAGAAAAGTTTCTACTGCCGCAATTTTTCAAATTATGTTTCTGTAAACTTACAATGTGCCAATCTGGCAATATTTAGTAATGTAGATTTTATTTGCATGTTTACATATATTTGATTTAGCTTTTTTCCTCAGGGTAATTCAGTAATCCTCAAGGTTATTCAGTATCACACTAGTAATCTATCAGTTCATATTTTTACTTCAAGTTTTCTCAGTAGCTAAATGGAAAACGTCAGATTTTGCTAAAATACAACATACGTTATATAATCCTTTCAAAAGTGTAACTCAGTGCCAGGGTCAGGGTGCGTTCTAAATCAAGGGAAATCCTACTTTCTGAATAATTTTCAAGTCTCTTTTGATAAACAGCAAACTGTGGCATCAGTACAAAATACTGCAGGAAACAGCTGATAAGCTTACTGGAAGTTTACATATATTCAGAGGAATTTTTACTGTGCCCAGACCTTTCGGTTCACCAGATTCCCAAACTTTCCAACTGTATTAGAGGAACACTCGATTTGGTTTCTTATATTGCAAATGTAACTAAATATAATTGGCAAAAATGAAAATAGATTAGCTGCCTGCTGATGAGCTCCGTGACTAAAATTCCTTGGTGCGAGCAGACAAACTAACAGAAGTCAAGTGTTCAGTGGCCTAGAAGTGTTCTCATTAACATAGGCTCTATTTTCAGTTTCATTTGGAAAAAGAAAAGACAAGAGTTGCTGAAGAGAACTGAACTCTGTTTTTAAACTGTCTTTTGCCAATTTTTTTTCCTTTCAGTCTGCCCTGCTGGTTGGAAACCTGGTAGTGAAACAGTAAGTCCAATTGATTTCTCTGTTAAGGGGCTAGCTGGGGCCAAAAAAAAAATGCTAACCTTAGGATAGTCTTTCCTTGTAATGGAACTGTCTTGATTTTGTAAATGAAGTAAATGTTGATAGGCAGAAATCATAAGCATACAGGCGTTTTTTGGACTGTAGGGAGAGTAATTGAAATTGGAGAAAGCCGAATATGGGCCTTAATGCTGTGTATTTTAAAGCCAAGTATCCAGAGAAATATACCGATAAAAAGGGGGAGGGGCACAGTGTAGACTTGGTAGAATAAATTCAGAGGTCTTAGAGATCACATATGGAATTTCTTCCTATATTGTGAGCGAAGAGAACAGTCAGAAGCAAAACCTTTATATGTATAGTAAAAAGCTTTTGAGAAAATCTGGCTTAATTAACATTGAAGCTAATGCTTCTCTCCTTATCATTTGAAGGAAGAAAAGATTGAAACAGGTACATTCTTTCATTTAGGGAGGCTGTATAACTTTTAGACAATCCTTGAAGTAGTCTCTGGCCAAAATACAATTTGGAAACTTGCTTAAACCTTTTTTCATGGGCCGGCCCCGTGGCTTAGCGGTTAAGTGCGCACGCTCCACTACTGGCGGCCCGGGTTCGGATCCCGGGCGCACACCGAGGCACCGCTTATCTGGCCGTGCTGAGGCCGCGTCCCACATACAGCAACTAAAAGGATGTGCAGCTATGACATACAGCTATCTACTGGGGCTTTGGGGGAAAAATAAATAAATAAAATTATTAAAAAAAAAAACTTTTTTCAATAACATTTTTATCTTCTAAAAATCAAGAGTTTTACACAAACTGTGGGTAGGAAATGAAAAACACTAGAGCATTGGAGGAAAACATCATTATCTTAGGATAAGAGAAAAATATAGACTCCTAAGACTTTCTCCCTTAGCAAACCAAAAAAAAAGTACCATTAGCCATAGACAATGAGAGGTAGAAATTCACTGTAACCTCACTCAGATTAGATAAAGTAACTTGATAGATTTGTAAAACAGCTTTGCCTCTGCAGGTCAAAGTTAATGTTAAAATACAAACTTACTCACCTCTACATAGATCTGATGGATCTCAGAGGGGATTTGAAGTTAGGCATTAAAAGTACTTTGAGCACTAGGTACTTTAAATTATAAATTAGTCATTAAGTTAGTTTACAGTTACTGATTGTGAGACTTAACAGATAGAAATATGAATCAGAAGCTGCAGGCATCACCTGAGAGAAGCCTTAAAAAGCATTTCTGGATAGGTCTTCAAGATAGGAGCACTTCCCCCCGGGAGCTGGAGTGGTACCAGCAGTGACGAACGAATAGCATCACCATCAGGCAAGGGCCCGTGCTAGGAGATCAGCAAGAGCTCCCAAGAAAGACAGATTAACACGACGGGTGTTATAGGATGGGGAGTGGACGTTTCAGACAACGTGTTGACTACCCACTTGATTAACTTTGGGGGGCCACAAACCCCTTTGAGAATCTGATGAAAACCATAGCTTCTCCCTCCATCAAAATGCACATGTGTTATCACATACTGTGTTTGGGCATTCTTTTTTTATTCCCAGCTTTCTTGAGTTTTAATTGACAAATAGAATTGTATATATTTAAGGAGTACAATGTAGTGATTTGATACATGTATACACTGTGAAATGATTACCACAATCAGATTAATTAACAAATCCATCACCTCACATGGTTACCTTTTTGTGTGTGGTGAGAAGGCTTAACATCTACTCTTTTGGCAAGTTTCAAGTATACAAAACAGTATTATTAACCACAGTCACCATGCTGTACGTTAGATTCCCAGAACTGACTCATCTTAAAACTGAAGGCTTGTACCCTGTGACCAGCATCTCCCAATCTCCCCCACCCTCAGCCCCTGGCAGCCACCATTCTACTCCCTGTTTCTATGGGCGTTCTTTTAACAGACATTTTTTGAGCACGAGCTATATGGCAACTATTCAGACTGTTAGGATAGCCGGGTGGTATTTATCAGTGAACACCGCAGCCAAGGTCCCTGCCCTCAGAGTTACATTCTAATTCTAGATTGTGATGAATGCTTTTAGAAACAGGTTGATGGGAGTTGATGGGATAGTGCCTGGGGTGAGCATAAAGTGGTCAGGAAAGACTTCTAAGATGACATTTGAGTTGGAACGTGAGTGAAGAGAGGGAGCCAGTCATGCATAGAGCAGTGCAGAAAGAACAGCAAAGACAGACGCCCTGAGGCAGGAACCAGCTGAGCGTGTTCAAGGAACAGAAAGGGCTTCCATGCGGCAGGATTAGAGTGGGCTACAAGGACTGGGAGAGGAATGCCAGTGTCCCGTGGTGTGGAGAGGTGGAGAACAGTGAACTGACTGAGCCGTGTGAAGTCATTGGTGACCACAGTGAGGGCAGCAGCTAGTGTGGAGTGGTTTAAGGATGGGGCTGAGGGCAGAATGAGGAGAAAGAGATGGAGTATGAACAACTAGTTCCAGAAATATTGCTGTGAAGGGGAGAAGGAAAGAAAGTAGCTGGAGAGGGGGGATGTAGGATCAAAAAAGGTTTTGTGCTGGTGTTTCTTTGAAGATAGGTGAATTTTTCATCTCCGTCTCCCTCCATTCTCTCCTGTGTATGCACAGGCCTCCCTGACCTCAGTTTCTCTCCTCTCCAATGCATGTTTTCTCCAGACCAGAACCTTTTGGAGGCTCTCCAGTACTCACAGGACAAAGGCCAGATACTTGGGCACAGCCTTCAAGCCTTTGCATTCTTTATTCCCACTGGGCTCTCCCAGGTCATCTTCCCTAGGATCCACGCACGCATGCTGTGCTCCCACCAAATCACGACTTATTTTTCCCCAAAATAATCCCTGCTTTTTCACACCTTTGTGCCTTTGCTCAGGTCTTTCTTTCTATAGCCTGGCATACCTGTCCCCTTCTCTAAATTCCACTCATCTTTCAAGATCAACTTAAATGCCACCTGCGCTCTGAGTTCTTCCCTGATGCCATCTCAGCCTCCATTGAGTCACACAGCCTATGTCACACAGAATCGTATTGTTCATTGCATCGAAAACAGTTATGTACATGTACATCTTCCCCACGTGCTTGTCCGGCCTCATAGGCGGGGACTTGGGTAGTTCTCCTTGTATCCCCCACTGCCCAGCACACTATTGGCACATAGTAATTATTCCATAAGTACTTGCGAATTGAATTTAAATGCAGAGAGATTATAAGTTGGCAAAGACAGAATCTTTGAAGTGATGCCTGAAAAATTAGGGAACTTTTATTTTATGCTAAAGAAAAATTCTGAAGAAAACACCTATAGAACTATCGTAAGCTGATTACAGTAGGTTATTTTTTAATATAGGGATAGATGTACTTTACTCATAACTGTCAAGTAACATAGTTAGTGGGAGGACAAATTATATTGGAAATTTCAAAAAAAGTCTAGTAGGGTTCTAAGGCTGTGATACCCTAGGAGGGAGCGTTTTTTCTTTCAGAGTATTTGTTCATTCACTAAATAGTTATCGAAGGTAATGCTTTAGGGTGTATTTGAGTCTTTTTTTTTTTACTTTGCAGTTTGAGATTAAAAGGTTACATTCTGGACCTCCAAAAAATCCATTTGAACACACTGCCCCTTTTTCAGGTTGTTGTGGCATGCCAACATTTCATCAGCAGATGATTTTAAAAATACATTAACATCTGTAGCCATGCTCTCATAATGTGTTCGATTTAATTAGATCAAACCTGATGATGCCATGAAAGCCTGGTGGCCGAGAGAAGAGCTGTAAGTAAATTTTTGGGTGCTTGAGTACAGATGTTAATTTATTAACAAATGATTTGCCTTTTGGGATAGCTAAGATTAGTAGGTAGGACAAATCCAGTTTTTCTTATATATATATATGATATAATTTGGTATATAAAAATAGTCTTTATCTTCTCTAGTCAAGAGATGGGCAACTAATGTCAGACTACTAATGATGTATGTCAGCTTTTAAAATGAATAATTTGTGTTTTTTTAACAGATAATCCCAGATCCAGCTGGAAAACTGAAGTATTTCGATAAACTGAACTGAGAAATACTTCCTCAAGTTACGATGGTTGAAAGTTCTCAATAAAGTTCACCGTTTTATTACCATATTGTGTTACAGTAGTAATTTCTTGGAGAATATAAAAATCCATGTCAAGGTCCAAAGATATATAGTGTTCAAGTTAGACACTGATGCCAAAAGATAGGCAGTTATTCTCTATCTTTCCGAAAAAAGAAATGTCCAGTTGAATCCAACTAGTAAGAACAGTGATAACTAACGTTTATGGAGTGCATGCCACGTGCCAGGCACTGTGTTAGGCAGGTGAGGCGTATTCTTTCATTTAATCCTCACAGCAACTCTTCGAGTTATTTATTTTACAGATGAGGAAACTGAAGCTCAAATAAATTACTTACCCAAAGTCACACAGCTAGCTAGCAAAGGTAGAATCAGACTTTGAACCCAAACAGGCTAATTCTAGTTTCTGGGCTCTTAACACTCCACTGTGGCTCACCTCTGTACCTTTGAGGATGGCAGGAGAATAGGTTGTGAGTCTAGTCACCTTCCATGGTATCTGGTACGGACAGCTGACCCCAGAGCTCACTGCTGTATACAACATAAAGCCCTTTGCCCCCCCGCCTTTTTCTCTAAATTCATGTTTTCGACTTGTACCAAATTTATAAGTAACAACTTATATGTTTACATTTAGTTTAACAAAAGTGGAATCCCTAAATATATGTAGCTAGCTCTTCACAGATAACCATATATAAAGCTCAAGTCCAGTGCTACTTCACCCCATTTACCACCCAAATATGGCAGTGACTTTATTGTAATTATCTATAGATGTGCCATGTAGTTAAGGGACCTGGTACTCAGAATTTGCCTCAGCCTGTCTTCCATGCTAATCCCCTCTCATCACTCGCAAAAAGCCCCTAACCCTGGGGGAAGCCATTACTTGAACTGGGGGTATTAGTGGCCTGGCTGAAACTCTGAGTTCTGTCATAAATGGCAGATGATTAGCGACAGGCATTTGGACATGGACATGGGACTCCAACTGCAATTTATAACCCTTTGCTACAGCAAAGTAGGCTCTAAATGCTGGCTTACAGTCGAAATTTTAGAAGCCAACCAATTAGTAAAGTTGTAGACTGCTAGTACTTTGATGTTCAAATAGGCTTTGATAATCTTGTCAATCAATACTTCCAATACAATTAGAATCCTATTCTCAGGTTTCCTCTTTCCAATCTGAAAAGTACAGATTTTTCACTCATGGAATAAGCCTATATCTTCTTGATTAATAGTTTCCATTTTTTGAAGCTTTTCTAGCCTCATGTTCATTTTAGGTGTGTTACCAGGGAGGACAGCTATTTTTAGATCCATTCAAAAAACCCAGTCAATGTTTCATTCAACATTCAGCAATTATTGATTCCCTACTCTAAACACTAGGCATATATCAGTAGCCAAAGACAAATTTCTGCCCTCAAGGAGCTTAGTATTTGATTACTGCAGCAGGTGCTGATAGTATAGTAATTTCTGGGTACCTACAAATAAGTGAAAATACATCCTGACTTACCACTTTCATATTAACTAGGTAATGTAAATAGCCTATGAATAAAATAGCATTAAATGCACTCGTTCTCAGTGCCTTTTATAAACTATCCCTTCAAACAGCTGACTTCTGCAAGTCCACAGGTCCAAAATTATATACAAAGGTGATCTCGTGGCCATTTACAGAAGACTGGAAAAAGTGTTCAGAAAGGATAGTCCCCGCCCTACTGGAGAGGATGGGCCCCAGGCCTGACCGGGATGTAGCTACAGGAGACCTAGTCCCGGAACATGCCTACCTACTGTAATCTACAGCTGTGCTTCTTGATCGGGGACAATTTGTCCTCAAGGGACATTGTAATGTCTGGAGATGTTTTGGTTGTCACAACTGTGGGACTGCTACTGGCATCTAGTGGGTAGAGGCCAGGGGTGCTGCTAAACCTCTACATTGCACAGGACAGCCTCACAACAAAGAATTATCTGGCCCAAGATGTCAGTAGTGGTGAGGTTGAGAAACCCTTCTCTACAGACAGCTGCCAACAGATTGAGGGAAAGAGACCAGTATAGTTTAATAGCTGCCTGGGCAGCAGGACAGATCATGACACGACAGTAGGAGCTTATCCAAAATAGGTCGAGATGTGACTTGAAATTTCTCTGAAATACACTAGACAACGTCTTTTCCATGGATTAATATATATGACATCTATAATTCCCTGCTTCTCCCTCAAATTTCTGGTCTTCTTTTGAATATTTCCCAGTTAAGCCTTGCCAGTGTTCTGAGCGTTCCAGTGATTGAGGTGGACTGCTCTTTCAGGGATTTCTTAGTCACCAGAATCTCATGCAAAGAATCAT